TTTGAAAAACATGAAACAAAGTGAATAAAACATAAGAAAAGAAAGAAAAATGCATTAGTAACACAATAAAACTCCCCCCAGACTTAACTTGCACCGTCCCGGTGAAAGCAAATCACATTAAGGTGAGAGGTAATATTCAAAGTAAAAGAAAAATAAAGAAAAATTCATTAAAATGAGATAGGGATAGAAAATGGAGATTTGTAAGTGTCCATTGCACTAAGTACCACTTGAGATGACTATGTGTGGCAGTGAGAAGAACTCTCTTCCTCATCTATGGGGTCATCGCCTTCTGAACCAAGCTCTGAGTCTAGTGAGAACTCACCAAGGTCAGGCTCATATGGCTCTCTAGCGGTGGAAGAAGGGCGAAAGAGTCTCTCCGGTGCAATGTGGCGAACTACACGAACTAGGCGTGAGATGAAGCGAGATTGGCATTCCACTATCTTCTCCAGCTTGTTAACACGGTCTAGAGCTTGGTGCGCGCCATGCCAGTAGTGAGAACATGGCGTTCTTGGTGGCGGCGTTGAGTCTTGACTGCATGCTGAAGTGTGCGATAGGTGAGCATGGGGAATGATGGTTTCTCACTTGATGGAACATAGAAGTCTTCCTCATTGGGCTGGAAAGTGACAACACCTGAGCGTAGGCTTGGGATGTCTTCATGTGGCAGCAAGACAAGGGAAGTGTTGGCTGGACCAATTGGAAACTCATAGCAAAACCGAGTTGGGTCTTTAGTCCAACGGTTTAGGAAGTGGATGTGCTGAAGAGCATGGAGATCCAAAGGGGTTGGCTTGGGTAGTGGCTCATAGTTGGGAATGTCAATCCCCACATGTACTATGGCCGTGATAAGCCTCCCAAAACGAACACAAAGCTTCTTGTTGCCTTCCAAGTCTTGAGCTAGCTTCCTCACATTGATGAATGTCTTGGCAAGTAAAAGTCCAAGGTTGGCCTTGTACTCATGCTTGATGAATGGTGTGGTGAGGATGTAGAACTCATCAGTTGTGACCTTGTTGGCTTCTTGTTTGCATTGGAAAGTGGTGGAGATGAGGCGGTGCACATAGCGAATGGCTGGATGGGTGATTCTAGACACCTTTGACTTGAAGGCAAGAATGGTTCATTGGCAAAGTGTGTCCAATCAGCAAAGGCAGCTTGTTTCCTCTTTGAGTTCTCCTTGAAGTCATGTGCTGTCTCATTGGGAAGTCCAAAGAGTTGGCATAGAGCTGAGATGGAGATGCGCCCATTGGCATCGCCTATCTTGAAGAGTAGGAGTCCATCACCAGCTGGTTGGTCTCCATTGTGGTTGGGAAAGGCAAGAGCTACTGTGGAGAGGAACTCCTTGGTGAGTTGTGAGTACTCACTACACTCTAGCTTGAAGAGCTTGCTCAAGCCTAGCTTCCTTATGTACCATGTGACATCATCTCTTATCTTGAGAAGATCAAGGGTTTGGGTGTCCATCTTCACACATGGCTCGATGTTCACCTTCTCCATTGCCTTCTTACACTTTCTTGGGTCTTGATTTTGTTCTCCAACAAAGGTTACAAGTGCCCAATCATCTTCTCCTCTTCTTGGACTCTCCACATGTTCTTGATTGCATCAATGGAATGTGGTGAAGTTGGTATTGCTGCTCTTGCATTGGAGCTACTACTCCCTAGCTTGATTTGTTTCTTTGGTGGTTCCATGAATGGGTTCTTCTTCTTCTTCATACTCTCATTTCCTTTTGTCTTTGCCATTGTGTACCTACAAGAGCAAATTCTTGGGAGAAATATGAGTTTGTGATTAATGCAAAAGAAGAATAAGCTAATTGAGTTGTAATAATGATATGGAATAATGGAACAACTCAAGGCTTAATCATGAATCAAAGAGACAAAATGGAAATTTCACTTTTTCAAAGTTAATTTTCGGATTTTACTGTTCATCCCAAGATTATGGTGCTTAAAATCAAAATTTTTAGCAAATCAAGAGAAATTGAGTTTCTAATCCAAGTAATCACTAGATAAACTAATGAATTGAAGTATGCCTAAGCAATTTCACCTTTGAATAAGGGGTTTGGAATGCCCAATAAGTTTTGTGAAAAACTATTCAATTGTGAAATTAAACTTCAAATTAACTCTAAACCACCTAGGTTCCACCTAGCAAGTTCATTACAAGACTATAAGGATGCTAATTTCAAGTTTAGACAAGAGTTTAGACCAAACATGAAACTTATTGAAATTTCGATCTTGCATAAACATAGGATTAGAGTTAGAAGACATACCTTGTGTGTTGAAAAGTGAATAAGGTTGCAAGAGCAAGTAAATTCCAATTTAGAGTTATGAACAGTAAAAGTTTTGAAATCAAAACTCTTAGAGTTCCTCTAATGGAGTTTAGGGTTTTGGAGAAGAAAGAGAGGTTCTTGTTGTTTTCAAGGGAAAGGTAAAGTAAATAAGATCTAATCCTATCAATTTTCCTTTTCAAATTCGAATTTTGATTGAAAACCGGTTTAAGTTGGTTTAGATTGGTTAAAACCGGTTTGAATTAATGAAAAGGGGACTTACCTTGGCCGAGAAAAGTTTGGGCCGATGGCCGATGGATTTTGTCGCGGTCGAGCGATTTCGGCCGAGGCCGATCGTTGTTTCCCGGATCGACCGGCACGGTCGGTCCGTTCCGATACGAAAATTTCGGCCGATCGCGGCCTTTCTTTCCCGGTTCGTGCGTGCGCGAACGGTTTCTGTCGCGCATAGATCAATCCGGCCGAGCACGCCATTCCTTCCCGGCTCGACCGTGACGGTCGGCCCGATTGGAAATTGCTCGGCCAAAATTCTCTTTGCGCGTCCGCGGCCAATGTTTTGGCGCGGATTGTGTTTTCACACCTTTTTCTCCTTCTATCCTATCTTAAAACAAAGAAAACACAAAAGCAAAACAAAAACTAAGAAATTAAAGAAAGAAAAGTAAAAGTACCTCATGGGTTGCCTCCCATGCAGCGCTTGTTTTAAGTCTTTAGCTTGACTGTAAGGCTTGGCGCTCAGGAGAAGATGGAGACAAGAGGCATCTTTGATCCTCCAAGTCTTTTCTCCTTGCAATGAGTATCTGGTGGGTGATTCACAGCTGGATAGACAATCTCTCCATGAATGTCCCTTGGCACTACTGCCTTAGGAAAAAGCTTTAGAGTTCTTGTCACTTTCTCCTTGAATCCTTCTAGATTCTCATCAATAAGCTCCTTTGGGAATAGAAGCTTCATGTTGCGGCCAGACCTAGGTTTTCTAACCTTCCTTCTTGGCTTGGCCTCATCTTCAATCTTGGTTGATCCCTTGGGCGGTTTTGGTGTAGGGGCCTTAGTCTTACTCCTTGCTTGTTTGGCAAGCTGCTTGGGCTTAGGAATGGGATCTTCCTTGATTGTTTCTTCAGTTTCTCCTTCTTGGGGTGGCTTCAAAGTAGCTTTCTCCTCTTGGACCATGTCAACAAAAGAGTTCTTTGTTGAACACATAGGGAAGAACATACCCTTGTTCACCTTGTTGAAAGAGATTCTTTGATTGGGGAAATCAAATATGGCACCCACAGTAGACAGGAAAGGGGTTCCAAATATGAGAGGTCTATGGCTACTCTCTCTCATTTCCACAATCTGGAAATCAGTAGGGATAGAGCAATTTCCAATCTGCACCATCACATTAGGCACAAAGCCATAGGGGTTTGTGAGAATGAATCAGCATAGTTGATGGAGATGGATGATGGCTCTATCTTGGTGAGGCCTATCTTGTCAGCTATCCTCTTAGACATGATGTTCACATTGGCTCCTGTGTCACACAAAGATTGCTCAAGAATGTTACCTTTGATGATACAAGGCACACAAACTTTCCTGAGTTATCTGTCTTGGGGATAATCTTTGGGAAGAGTCTTCTCTTTCTAGCTCGATTGGACTCTCTCTCTGGGTAATTCTCTTCAGGCCAAATCATGCAATCAACAGTAGGTTTTGAAAGCATCCATTCTGGAACTTGGTCTTCAAATCTTTCTTCTATGGCGGCTGAGTTGCAAAAGGACTTCTTGGATTCAGCTTCCTGTCTCTTAACAGCTTCCATAGTTTGAGTGACTTGAGTCTCTAGTTTCTTCACATGAGTGGCAACAGCATCATACTTGGTGTTGAGATTGCTGAACAAAGTGTCCATCTTCTCATACATCTCTTTAGTGTTTCTCTTCTGGCCATCCATGATCTGTTGGAGGATTCCTTCAAATCTCCCACCTTGTTGGTTTGGAGGAGCTTGATTTGGTGAAGAAGCATATGGCTCCTTGGGCGGATATGATGATCTCTGCTCATATCCTTGCCTTGGCTGAAATTGACTTCCTTGAGATTGGTAAGGAGGTCTTTGTTGTTGTGGATACCTTGGAGGATACACTTGGTCTTGAGGATTCTCCACATTGGGGTTTCTATAAGACATGTTGGGGTTTGGGCGATAGCTTGGATTGTATCCCTTGTTCCCATAGTTTCCAATGTAGTTCACATCTTCTTCATTGGCTTCATTAGAGAAATCTCCCATGCATTCTCTTGATGAATCTTCATTAGCATCACTCATCCCTTCTATTGCATTGATATGCTTGAGCTGTCCCTTAAGAACTTGAGCCATCATGTTCTTGAGTTCAGTCATTTGAAAAGAATCAGGGGAGCTAGTAGTGGTGCGGCTTGAGCGGTCATAATCAGGACAGTTGTTACAATCACTAGCTGCAAGATTCTCAATGAAAGCTTTGTACTTGTGTGTCTATGCCACGATAGAAGATGTTCCATAGGTTTCCCTCATTGAAACCATGATTAGGGCAGTCCCTAATGTACTCCTTGAATCGATCTAGCGCCTCATAGAAAGATTCATTGTTGGCTTGGCGAAAGTTGGAGATCTTGTTCCTTACAGAAATTGATCTTTGCTTGGTGTAGAAGTGGTTGATGAAAGCAGCCTTGTACTCATCCCAAGTGGTAATGGAGTGAGCTGGCAGAGACTTCAACCATCTTGAAGCTTTGTCGCCAAGAGAGAATGAAAAGAGCTTGCACTTAAGGTAGTCAGCAGAGACTCCATTGGATCTTGTAGTGCTGCAAATTTCTTCAAAGTTTTCTATGTGATCAAGAGGGTGCTCAGCTGGAAGTCCATTGAATTGGTTCTGTCTAACCAATGCTATGATCTGAGGCTTGATCTCATAGTCATTCCTTGCAGGAAGTGGTGGATGGATAGGGTTTCTATCCATGAAGAAAGCATCGGCAGAGTCATAGTCTCCGATTGTAGGTGCTCCAGCTTGAGGTTGCACATTCACATCTCCAGCAGGGTCTTGTGGATTAGGAGGAGGAGGAGGTGGATCTCTTCCTTCTTCTTGAGCGCGCGCCACTTCAGCGGCGTGAGCGCGAGCTGCTTCGTCGGCCATCTCTTGGGCTTTTGCTTCCTAAGTTGCTCAATCTCTCTGGATGTTCAACTAGGTTGTCCTTGTTGGACCTCCTAGTCATGCACCTGAAAAGAGTCTAGGAAACAAGTTAAATCAAAAGGGAAAAACAAAAACAAAAGCAAAAATCAAAGAAAAGGAAATCAAAAACTAAAAATTCAAAAGCAAAAGAAAAGCAAAACAGGAAAAGGTTCTAGACTAGATCCTAGTCGAGTTCCAAAGGTACTGCTGCAGTCCCCGGCAACGGCGCCAAAAACTTGATGTGGAGTCAGGTTTTACCAAACTCCTAGACCTCTGCAAGTGCACAGATCGCGGAAGTATGGGTATCGAACACAAGGACTGGCTATTGAGTACACTTTGAAACTATGGATTTTGGATCAAGCTAAAACAAAAGTATGATTGAGGTTGTAATGGTGAACCGAACTAGCAAGTATAACGAGGTTGTAAATCAATAAAGGAAAAGCGCTAGGTCATAGGGGCTATCGCAGAGAAGCAAGCAATGATCAATGAAACAATGATAGATGAATTGATTAGGGATATTGGGATATTAAGAACCATCTAGAACACAGATCACGAATATAAAACCATTCCACTTTCGAGGCTCCGGCTCCTTTGCTTAATCTACCTAGTCGCTAAACTTTTGGTATGTCCCTAGGTGATTAGATCAAGCTTTAGAATGAATAGGTTCTGATACAGTTCACTAGATATAGATAGATCAACTTTCGCAGTCTAAGAAACCTAGCTTGTCAAAGAATATGTCCGGCGAATGATACAGCACTGTCGAGGCTCAAATCAACCTAAGATCGGATTACTAGATGCGCGGTAAAGCAATCAGCATTAGTTAAGTGCACAAGACGAGACAAAGACTCTAATATAATCCCTAGCTAATCATTGAAATCAAAGATCATGCAAGCAACTCATTGAATAGTAACCCTAGCAACCTAACTAGTGGATTACTCAGACATGATCAAAGCAAACACACATAGAGATGAAGAAAACATGATTGCAATAAAACTTAGAGTAGGAAATCGAAATACAGGGCGGCTCTCTTTCACAAGAGGCTAAAAAGCTATATATATAGTGCTAGGTCTTTTGAGGCGGCTTAGGGTTAAGCCGGGCTTGAAAATATGAAATTTGGGCTTCAAAACGGGCTTCGGGTCGACCGCGGCGTTGGGACGGTCGGTCGGGACGATCGGCCGGATGATCGGGTCGTGGCCGTCGTACGATTGGACGGTCGGACGGATGAAGATTGGCCGATGAAATCTCGGCCGGACGCGGGACGTAGTTTCCCGGCTCGGACGGGCGTTCGGCCGTGGTACGCGAGACGAGTTGCGCGGCCGCGAGGCGTTTTCCCGGCTCGCGCGCTTCGTGCGCGGCGTGGCGTGAGCGTTGTGGCGTGGCCGACCGCGGGCAATGTTTCCCGGGTCGTGATGCGTGCGGCCGACGGTTTGGACTTTGGCCGAGACTTCAGACGGACGGATGATGATTTGGCCGAGCGCGGAACGTTCGTTCCTCGGCCAGCCGGACTGCGCGGTTGGGCGCTGATTCTCGATAGAGCAGTCTTCACTCTTTTGGTTGTAACTCCTTTTCTACTCATCCAAATTAGGCCATTCCAGTTGCGTTGGAAAGTTAACTCAATCAGAGCACGCAGGGAACTGGTCTTGATGAAATCCATTGAGTAGATCTTTTTCTGGGCCCTCTTAAAGTTGGTGCTTGTGCATGGAGCGGCTTGAAGTGCAAATCCTATGGTTTTGCTCCAAAATGCATCATTTCACCTGTTTAGACTCTAGACACTATAAACACAGTAAAACTACCTTTTTAGATAGAAAACCTGCCAAAAACCATTAGAAAACAATGCTAAAACAGTATAAAAAGTGGGTAAATTAGAGGTATATCAGCTTCCTCCTTCTTCCTTTGCGTATCCAGTTGAGCTGCGTCCATGCACCAAGTCCTTCAATGTCCTCACGTCCCATATGCTCCAAAATGCTCCAAAAGACCTATTTCAAAGGACCAAACATGCACATGTATGCAAATGTAACCTAAAACTACTATGAATGCATAAGAAGAGAAAAGGAACAAGATATGATGCTAATGGATGCTAAAACTATGCAAAAGATGCATAAAAGATGTACTAAAACCATGCAAAATGCAAGTACATCAACATGCAATCAAAATTTCAAGAGAACAACAAGCAAATCGAGGAATCAAACTTAAGGATTTATGGGTTTAGGGTTCATACCTTGCTTGGATGATTGAAGAACTAGAACATTAGCTAGAACTAAAGCAGATTAAAAGAAAGAACAATGAAGAATCGCAATAACTCAAGGGATGGAGAGATTTTCGGATTTCATAGGGAGAATGGAGAGAGATGAGTGATTTTTCAGAAAACTTTAAATGTGGGAGAGAGAGAGGGGTTGTGCGATCGAGTTATGGGGAAAGAGGGAGTGTTTGAGATGTGTGGTGAGGATTAAAAGATAGTTTAAAGAGGGGACAAAAGCTAGGGGATTTTCTGATCGATTTTAGGAAGTGGGGGACCAAAATTTACATGTGGGACCCACCCCCTTGACCAAGAAACGGTTAGAAATTTGAAATTCAAAAATTTACCTTGGTCGAGTTGTGGAGCTCGATCGAGTTACCTTTGTTTCTAGCTCGATCGAGCTGTCGGTCGAGCTGGCTTCTCTGTCACCTAAACTTAACTTCTTGAAAGGTTAAAGACACAAAACTAGATAGAAATTGCAATAAAGAATATGTACAAGGATAGACATGGGACTTCCTCCCAAGTGAGCTTGTTTAAGGTCCCATAGCTTGACCTTTACCTTCTTAGGCATTGGTTGAGCTAGTCCCACCATCAAGGGTGATAGTGAGGACTTGGGATAGGAGCTCCTTTAGCTTGGTTGGGTCCCTGGATTTCTCTGAAGTGACCAAGGCCTTGGCTCTAGAGAAAGGTCTTGATCTCCCCTTGTACCTTATCTTGTACTCAATCTTCCCATTTTCAACTTGGTGGGGAAACAAGGTCATAGTGAGCTGAGATGGCTTGACTGAAGGGGCCTGAGCTGGTGGATCTTTTCTCTTATCACCTGGTCTTGCCTTAGAGGCTACATCCTCCCCTTCCTTTAGAGCCCTTCCTAGTGGCTCATCAAACAAAGCTTGAAGGCTCTCTTCATCAAGCACACAAGGGCTTGAACAAGTCTATCAGCTCGTGGCCTATCAGAACGTGGTCGCTCAACTCTAGGCCTCTCAAGGCGTGGTTTCGCAATCCTTGTTTCTTTATCAACTCCCTTGTCCTTCTCAACCTTATTCGCACAAGTCTTGTTTCCTTTTCACACCTTGGCAACTTCAGGACTCTTGGATCTCAGAGGTGTGCTTTCAATTGTACCACAATACTCTGATCCTCTAGGCTGCAAGCGATAAGACACCAAACTATTCACCTTGTGAGAATCACTTCTTGCTTGTGAAAGTCTATTGAAGCGCCAACTGTGCTAAGGAAAGGGGTTCCTAGTAAAGGTAGATCCTTCTCTTCTTCCATCTCCATGACAGTAAGATCAGTTTGGATGATGCATTCTCCTATTTTCAAGTGATAGTTTTTGAACACACCAAGAGGAGACTTTGAAGTTGCATCTCCAAACATGATTGAAGTAGTAGGGCGCTGCAATGCTCCAGCAATGCCAATCTTTTCTGCCATTGTGAGTGAGATGAGGTTGATGCTTGCACCAGAATCCACCAAGGCATTGTCAAGCTCAATATGCCCAAGTGTGCAAGGGAGAGTGAACTTCCCTTGATCCTTCACCTTTGGTAAGAAAGTTGGTGAGGTAAGTGATCCCGGGATCAGGTCTTCCCCTTTCCTATCCCTGATTCTGCAAGTGCACAGGTCAGAAGTAGTAAACGGGTATCGAACACAAGGACCAGATTGCACACTACAAGCTATGAGTTTGAGATCGAGCTAGGGCAAAAGTATAAGTTGGTTGAGTGCAGAGAAAGTAAAGCATGCAAGTAATAAAAGTGAAGAATTCAATAGGAGAGAAAGGCTAAGCAATAGGATAGTCTTGAGATAAGCAATTCAAGAAGCATGAAATCAATCAATTAGGGTTACCGCACTTAGGTGCTAATCTAGAACTTGAAACACTATGGTATGATCATTCCACTGTCGAGGCTCCGACCCCTTTGTTAATCTACCTAGTCGCTAAACTTTTGGTATGTCCCTAGGTGATTAAATCAAGCATTAGTTCGATCAAGATCAATTGTTCACAACCTACAAGTAGATCAACTGTCGCAGTCTAAAAGAGATTGCCCACCAAATACTAGTTCAGGCGAATGATACAGCACTGTCGAGGCTCAAATCAACCTAAAGGCATATGCTAATTGGCCAGATTAACAACAAGCATTAAGTATAAGCAAAGATGGAGATTATAAGTAAAACCCTAATTGTGATCAATCATCAAGCATACATGAATGCTATCCTTTGACTTCCTATCACTTAACAAGTAAACTACTCAGACATAGAGAAGGAACACGAATTCATATTCATAAGAACAGAGATTCGAATCCTCTCTAGAAAGAGTAACAAGCAAGAACAAAGTAAAAGCAAGCAAAACTTTATTAAGATGTAAAATAGATTGTGGTCTCTCTCCTTCTTGAGTTACAAGGCTAAAAAGAAGTATTTATAATGCTCTAAGTATGAAAGCGGCTAAACCTAATCTAGCTAGGTCGGCGCCGGCTTTGGGCTTGAATTGTGCGGATTGGGCTTCAAAAACGGCTTCGGGTCGACCGCGGCGTTCGGACGGTCGGTCGGGACGATCGGCCGGACAGTCGGGTCTTGGGCCGAGTCGGAACGGTCGTGGCCGGATGATTCACGGTCGGCCGGTGTGGTCGGACGGTTGAGATTTGGCCGATGAAATCTCGGCCGGACGCGAGGCATAGTTCCCGGGTCGGACGGAGCGTTCGTGCGTGGTACGCGAGACGAGTTGCGCGGCCGCGAGGCGTTACTCCCGGCTCGCGCGGCATGGTCGTGCGCGGCGTGGCGTGGCGGTTGTGGCGTGGCCGACCGCGGGCTTAGTTTCCCGGGTCGTGATGCGTGATCGGCCGAGCGGTTTTGGACTTTGGCCGAGACTTCAGACGGACGGATACATTTTGGCCGAGCGCGGAACATGCGTTCCTCGGCCAGCCGGACTGCGCGGTTGGGCGCTGATTCTCGATAGAGCCGTCTGGAGCAGTCTTCACTCTTTTGGCTATAACTCCTTTTCTACTCATCCAAATTAGGCCGTTCCACTTGCGTTGGAAAGTTAACTCAATCAGAGCACGCAGGGAACTGGTCTTGATGAAATCCATTGAGTAGATCTTTTTCTAGCTCCATCCAAAGTTGATGCAGGGGCATTGAACTGGTTTAGAGTCCAAATCTCTGTTTTGCTCCATAATGCACCTTTTTACCTAAAATGACTCTTTGCACTATAAATCCATAAAAACTACCTTTTAACACAAGAATCCACTAGAAAACCATTAGAAAACCATAGTAAAATAGCATAAAAAGTAGGTAAAATAGAGGTATATCAACTCCCCCAGACTTAGATCTTTGCTTGTCCCCAAGCAAATAGAATCTAAACTAGTGAAGAGGTTTTGAAAAACGTGGGAACTCTCTTGCTTCATTGAAAATCCTGTGAAAGGTTCCTTTACTGTATTCCACTAAGAACATAGTCAACATAAGGTTAGCTTCACATACACCCTGCAAGTTTAGCGAACAATACAAACTCAACTAGTCTCATTCAGTAATCCAAACTCTCTATTGTTAACCTCTTGCAGAAATTTAAAGCGTGAGTTATTTATCAAGGGAACTCTCTTGCTTCTTTGAAAATCCTGTGAAAGATTCCTTTACTGTATTCCACTAAGAACATAGTCAACATAAGGTTAGCTTCACATACACCCTGCAAGTTTAGCGAACAATACAAACTCAACTAGTCTCATTCAGTAATCCAAACTCTCTATTGTTAACCTCTTGCAGAAATTTAAAGCGTGAGTTATTTATCAAGGGAACATCGATCAATTGAACTTGTTCTTACCCACTTGATCTTCTCCAAGATTGTCTTTGAGGTGCAATGAGTTCTTTCCCTCTCTCTTTCTCACATCAGAACTTTGAAAGGTCAATTTCTCCCTACTTTTCTAGGGTATCATTTTATTTTTTCTATTGACCTTTCTTTCAACCACAGGATAAGTCTTTAGCTTGTTCCTTGTTTGACTAAGGTATTCCATAAGACATGAAGGTACAGACATATGCATTCCTCATGCTTACTTGTTTTCCTTGTGCTCTTTGAGCTTTTCTCATAAACATTACTTACCATTTGGGATGGGAGAGAGAGGTGAACTCTTTAGACAAATCTCATTGAAAATCAAGCAAGGAACTGTCGACATGTATGCCAATCCCCTTGACAAGAGTTATTAAGATTGATTAAGGGTGAGGTTAACTCTAGATTGCTTGGTTACCTTAGAAATTTCGCTGAGCTAGCTTGCCGATCCACTCTAGGAGCTTCTGTTAGGCTTGTGCCTTCAGCTGATGTTTGCTCTAGGGTCATAGATTGTTAGCATAACACTATCAAATCTCAAAGCAAGTTCATTGTTCCTGGACTGGTTTTGACTCAATAAAACAGAAGTTTTGAAAAAGTGGGTAGGAAAAACCAATTATAAGATCAAAACAACCATGAACAAACACATTAGTACCGACAATCCCCCCAGACTTAACTTGCACCGTCCCGGTGAAAGAAAATCCAATTAAGGGAGTTAAAGAAAGAGGTAATAAAGTGGTTGTGAATGTAAAAAGAAAGATGTAACCTGATTTGGTGTTACTTGAAGAATGGTGAATGCAGTGGAATGATGGTAGTGATGGAATGCAAGTGTGGTGAGGTGGGATGGGTGAGATGCAGATGGAATGAGATGGGATGGTGTGTTGGGCGGCTTGAGAGGACATGGGCGAGCGTGGAGAGGTTCTGCTCGGCCATCAAGTCGCGCCAACTATGAACATTCTTCTTGTGGTATATCTTCTTTACCATTGTGTGGTTCTTAGATTCCTGTATCCAAAACTCAAAACAAAACTAGACATTAACTAAAACTAATTGAAAAGAAAAGTAAAGAAAAACACCTTTCATGGGTTGCCTCCCATGCAGCGCTTCTTTTTAGTCATTAGCTTGACTGATAGGATCTCTTAGTTGGAGATGGGGTAAGGGCACGGCCTGAGACATAGTCTTTTAGTTCTTGTCTCATTGTGACCTTGAGTGTGGTCTGGTGGTTCTCTTGGGCGGCCTTGGGCAGTGATGAGTAAGACAGCTTGTTTGGTGAGATGAATGGTATGGTCTTGTAAAAGACTGTCTTGTCAACATTGGCTAAGGACATTCGCCTGTTTGGAAGGTCCATGACAGCTCCAGCAGTGGCCAAAAAGGGTCGGCCTAGTATCAATGGTGTGTCACATCCTCCTTGATGTTCATGACATGAAAGTCCACCGGGATCTTGATATCTCCAATCTCTAGAAGAACATCAACAACAACTCCTCTTGGCTTGGCTATAGTATGGTTAGCAAGTCCAATACTAATTTGAGCAGGTTGCAAGCGTGTGATGCCAAGGAGTTTGGCGGTTTGGGTTGGCATGAGGTTTATGCAAGAGCCAGAATCGCATAGTGTTCTATCAAAGTAATGACCATTTACTTGACAGGGAATAGAGAATTGACCTGGGTCTTCAATCTTGTAGAGGGTCTTGAAGGTTGGCTGAACTTTAGCTTTCTCAAAAAGCTCTTTGATATCCTCAGGTGTCTCTCTGCAGTTGTGGAAGAAGGTGGTGAATGGGTAGTGGCGCCAAGCTTGTTGGAAGACATGCTGGCTGGAAGAGTTTGGACAAACTGATTGAACTCAGCAAGCTTCTCTCTTGATATGGAATTGACATACCACTGGGTGGTGGTGATGATGGTGGTGATGGTGGTTGATTGACTGCATGAGGGGCAAGGGGAAATCGTGCCTTCTGAAAAAGTTGGTGTATCTCTTCTTTGTTTTCACTAGTTGTGAAAAAGAACTCCACTAGACCATGTTTATCCCAAGCTTCTTCAAAAGTGACATAGAATGGAAGTGATTTCACCTTAGCATTGAACTCTTTAAGCTTCATGGGGCTTATCTTGTTGGGATCAATGGGATCATATTGCCAAGTATCTTCTTCTTCAGTAGGTGGTGATGGTCTTTGCATTGCTTCCAGTCTTGGAAGTCAGAAGCTTGACTTCTTGGTGTTGGTGAGAAACGAGGGTCAATAGGGCTAGGTGTATCCTGCTCTGTTTTGGAGAAGCATTGATGTCGATGCTCTGCTCTTCATCTTCATCATTTAGTTGTTCCTCATACTCTCTTTCTTCTTCTTCATTGTCCTCATGGACTTGGTAGTGCTTCTTCTTGTGATGGCATTGCAATAAAAGGGAGGGTGGTTGGGTGTTGGACTCCTCTCTCTCTTGTAATTGGCATGAGATGATCCTTCAAGGGCTTGTAGGCGGTTGTAGATTGATCCAAGATGCTTGCTATTGCCATAGCTAGTATCTTCAATTCTCATGCTCTTGTTCAGCAACTCTTGATATTTGGAAGCAACATCAAGCTTAACTAGGGTCAGAGATCGATCATGATCCTCTCTTAACTTCTTAATGTCTTCATCAAGCTTGATCACTTGCTTGAATAGGACTTCAGATTTGTTTCCAAGGCTCTCATGGATGAAATCGATTCTCTCTCCATCTTCTTTGTACTCTCTTCTTGATTTCTCAAGTACTCTTGAAGCATATCTTCAATCTTGGTTTGGCGCGCAGCTTGGTAGCTCTCCCTTGGGAAAAGTGGTGTCTTGTTTATGTCTGGTGATGATGGATGGTGTTGTGAATAGCTTGGGCGTGGTGGTGGGACATAAATAGGACCTTTAGCAAATCTGTAGAGGAAAGCTCCTTTGTATCCATTCCAAGTCTTGAAAGCATGTTGGGCGTTGAACTTAGCCCAGTCTTTGGCTTGTCCAGCTAGTGATAGTTGGAAAAGTTGTATCTTCTTGGGGTTATCTCCAAGTCCATAGTCGTGGCAAAGCTGCTCAAAGTTGCATAGATGCTCCTTTGCACATTCTGAAGTAGAATTGTAGAAAGGATTCCTCTCCACATGCTTGATTAGCTCTTCATTCAAAACTTCAGGATGGGGTGGTATGCCTCCCCATTCTTCTTCTCACGCTCTCTCTCCAGCTGATGAGAGTAGTGATGGTACTTGGATTTGAAAGGTGGCATCCTTGCAAATCTCTTCAAGAAAGCTTCTCTAAAATCGATCCATGACTCGATTGTAGAGAGTGGTTCATGCTGCGCCCAATCTAGTGCTGGTCCAGCTAGTGATGTGCTGAATAGCATCATCTTCTTCTCAAAGTCAAAAACTCCATAGGAATCACAAAGATTATCAAAGTGATCTATGTGCTCCAGCGCATACTCTGAAAACAGATCATGGAATTGATCTCTCTTCACGAACTCGATCAGCTCAGGGTCAATCTCCTCTTCTGGTGTGGCTAGAAGGTGTTCTTCTTGTGTGATGCGGCTTGGCTAGACGTCTCCAGGTCGGCTGCTTCAAGGTAAGGAAGAAGTTTCTTCTTGGTCTTCAAAGAGGATAGTTTTGGAGGACTATCCCATGAAGGTGGTGGTGCTTGAGGGCTTGACATCTCTTGTTCGCTCAAGAGGTGGCTTTGAGGTGGTATGTGGCGAAGTGGAATCGCCTTTATAGGGGAAGGGGCTTGTGGCTCCTTCTCCATATCTAATTAGGAAAACCTGAAAAGCTAAAAAAAAACAAAAACGGAAAAACGAAATCAAAGAAAAAAAAGGAAAAATAACAAAAACAAAAAAGGAAAAATAGAAACCTGATAACAGGATTTTACTATCAATTACTCAAATCCAGCTACTCATGTCATTGTAGCATTTGAGGTGTCAATCCAAATGGGAAGCTGATTACTCTATAGAACTATGCAGGAACTATGCAATTCAAGCCAAATGATAAATGAAGATGGATGTAACAACTAAACAACCTAATATAACGGAAATGCAATGCAGAAAGTAAAAGAAAGCAGCTAAATGCAAGAAATTAACAAGAACAAGCAGATGCAAGGGAGCTCGACCAAGAGCTCGATCGAGTTGATGAGCTAGACCAAGAGCTCGATCGAGTTGATGAGCTCGATCGAGTTGAGGGTCGAGTTGGTGAGCTCGATCGAGTTGAGGGTCGAGTTGGTGTAAAAACAGAGGAAATGCAATGAAAAGCGATAAAGGTGCAAACTTTAAGATGCTAATGCGAAGATTAGGGTTAAAGACAGGGTTTTGCAGCTAAAGGGAGGCTATACTTAATCAGTCTTGCTCTTAAACAACTTGTATCAAGGTATCTCTTGATATTGAGCTTCTCAATGCCTAGCTAACCCTTTCCCAAGGTGAAAGCTATCAACCAAGACTTGATCTCAGAAACAGGGGGTTAGCCAGTGAGAATCAAGCCTTGGAGGCCATAGGATCATTGCTCAAACTAATCCATCCAACCCCTTAGACTCCATTTTCTAGAGCAAGAGTATTGGAGCTCTTAGTGGACCTTTCCAACGATTTCCATCACTTCCATGTGGAGAATCGTCTATGGACATACAAGCCAGGGATAGTGGTCATGTAGCCTTAAGGTTTGTCCAAAAGAGAGAGATTTCTAGATTAAGAACATAAGCAAGAAGGATTAAGCATAAACAACCTCTAACCTATCCCATCTTAAGCCCTAAAGGGAACTACTCACTACACATGATAAAATAACCAACCAAATGCAATGAAATAGACATTGAAAGATAAAGGAGATAAAGATAAACAACTTTTATTGAAATAAGCAAGTGCAAAAACACAATAACAAGGCCTAGATCTAGGGTTCTATGAGCAAGAGCTCAAGAACACAAAGAGAGGCTAAAAAGTAAAAAGGGAAATGCAAATACAAGATTAATTAAAGGTTGAGCCAAAAGCTATGTTTAATTCGTGGCTCAATGCCATTTATAGTAAAGCAAACTAGGTTTAGGGTCAAAGGGGAGTCAAAGGGAAGCAACATTTTTCGGGTTTGACTTTGACTCCTGGAAAGCAGCTCGATCGAGTTGGAAACTGGCCGGTCGAGCTGGTGGGTCGAGTCCAACCAATATCGTCGTATCTTCTGAACCGCTGGTCCGAATGACATGAAACCACCTCCAGACGAAAGCTAACTCAATTATCCACAACTTCCAAGAAGAAGTCAGACACTGAATCGGAGTGGAAACCCTTCATTTGATACGATACTTCGGACGCATCTCACTAGCTCGACCGAGTGCGGGTCCGTACATGGGGCAGACAGAGTCTTTCCTTCCTCAACTAGTCTCCAGTGATAGGCAATGTTCCAATTAGCTCCAAATGACCTGATTAAGACATCAAACGTGCACATGTATGCAAATGCAAGCCTAAAACTACTATGTATGCAAAAGAAGGGAAAACATCAAGAAATGATGCTTTGGGTGAATGAAACTATGCAAAAGATGCATAAAAGAAGGGCTAAAACCATGTAAAATGCAAGTACATCAAAACCCTAGACTAGCTCTCTTGCAAGAACTTGTAGGTGCGAATTAGTCCCCAGCAACGGCCCCAAAAACTTGATCGCGGGATCAGGTCTTCCCCTTTCCTATCCCTGATTCTGCAAGTGCACAGGTCAGAAGTAGTAAACGGGTATCGAACACAAGGACCAGATTGCACACTACAAGCTATGAGTTTGAGATCGAGCTAGGGCAAAAGTATAAGTTGGTTGAGTGCAGAAAAGTAAAGCATGCAAGTAATAAAAGGAAGAATTCAATAGGAGAGAAAGCTAAGCAATAGGATAGTCTTGAGATAAGCAATTCAAGAAGCATGAAATCAATCAATTAGGGTTACCGCACTTAGGTGCTAATCTAGAACTTGAAACACTATGGTATGATCATTCCACTGTCGAGGCTCCGACCCCTTTGTTAATCTACCTAGTCGCTAAACTTTTGGTATGTCCCTAGGTGATTAAATCAAGCATTAGTTCGATAAGTTCAATTGTTCACAACCTACAAGTAGATCAACTGTCGCAGTCTAAAAGAGATTGCCCACCAAATACTAGTTCAGGCGAATGATACAGCACTGTCGAGGCTCAAATCAACCTAAAGGCATATGCTAATTGGCCAGATTAACAACAAGCATTAAGTATAAGCAAAGATGGAGATTATAAGTAAAACCCTAATTGTGATCAATCATCAAGCATACATGAATGCTATCCTTTGACTTCCTATCACTTAACAAGTAAACTACTCAGACATAGAGAAGGAACACGAATTCATATTCATAAGAACAGAGATTCGAATCCTCTCTAGAAAGAGTAACAAGCAAGAACAAAGTAAAAGCAAGCAAAACTTTATTAAGATGTAAAATAGTTGTGGTCTCTCTCCTTCTTGAGTTACAAGGCTAAAAAGAAGTATTTATAATGCTCTAAGTATGTAAAGGCGGCTAAACCTAATCTAGCTAGGGCGGCGCCGGCTTTGGGCTTGAATTGTGCGGATTGGGCTTCAAAAACGGCTTCGGGTCGACCGCGGCGTTCGGACGGTCGGTCGGGACGATCGGCCGGACAGTCGGGTCTTGGGCCGAGTCGGAACGGTCGTGGCCGGATGATTTCACGGTCGGCCGGTGTGGTCGGACGGATGAGATTTGGCCGATGAAATCTCGGCCGGACGCGGGCGTAGTTCCCCGGCTCGGACGGAGCGTTCGTGCGTGGTACGCGAGACGAGTTGCGCGGCCGCGAGGCGTTACTTCCCGGCTCGCGCGGCGTGGTCGTGCGCGGCGTGGCGTGAGCGGTTTGGCGTGGCCGACCGCGGGCTTGTTTCCCGGGTCGTGATGCGTGATCGGCCGAGCGGTTTTGGACTTTGGCCGAGACTTCAGTCGGACGGATACATTTTGGCCGAGCGCGGAACATTCGTTCCTCGGCCAGCCGGACTGCGCGGTTGGGCGCTGATTCTCGATAGAGCCGTCTGGAGCAGTCTTCACTCTTTTGGCTATAACTCCTTTTCTACTCATCCAAATGAAGGCCGTTCCACTTGCGTTGGAAAGTTAACTCAATCAGAGCACGCAGGGAACTGGTCTTGATGAAATCCATTGAGTAGATCTTTTTCTAGCTCCATCCAAAGTTGATGCAGGGGCATTGAACTGGTTTAGAGTCCAAATCTCTGTTTTGCTCCATAATGCACCTTTTTACCTAAAATGACTCTTTGCACTATAAATCCATAAAAACTACCTTTTAACACAAGAATCCACTAGAAAACCATTAGTAAAATAGCATAAAAAGTAGGTAAAATAGAGGTATATCAGTAAGCAGGTTGATTTGGTGAGTAGACATCTCCAGAAGCTCATAAACCTTTTCCTTGTGAGCTATAACATCTTGAATCAACTTCATTTGCTCAAAGGCCTCACTCATGCTATCCATAGAAGGCAATTCAACTCCAATCTCACTTAGGTCTCTTCTGAACTTGTGAATCACTTCCTTATGGCTTTGACTGAGTAGGCGGCCTGATGATGTATCAACTAGCTGGTAAGGATCAAGCAAAATTGGCTTGAGGATGGATGATGGCTGACTCGATCAAGCTGGAGTTCGACTTGATCGAGCTGCCGATCGAGCTTGGAATTGTGTATCCTCCCCTTCTTGGACTGGTTCCATCTCTTCAGCAGACACAAATTGACTTTCTTCATTGTGGACTGAGCTAAGATAAGCTTATCCAACTTCTCATTCAACGATTTGACATCTTTTCTCAATTTCTCATCGGACTCGATCGAGTGGTGGGTCGAGCTCCGGTTGTGCGATCATACTCTTCTCCATAGCTTCCATTGGAGTTTGCAATGTTTCCACAAGCTGCCAGCCATCATCACATCCTGATTAAGGAAGTTCCCATTGCTGGCTGTGTCCAACATCTCTATACCTTGCCAAGCAACCTCTATAAAGAGTAGAGAGCAAAGACTCATTGTTGAAGCCATGATGTGGGCACTGACTTGTGTAGCCCTTGAACCTCTCCCAAGCCTCAGAAAAAGTCTCATTGTTCCTCTGTATGAAGCTCGAGATCTCACTCCTTAGCTTGGCTTGCGACCGGTGGAGAAAAACTTAGCAAGAAAGGCCTTCTTGCATTCATCCCAAGTGGTGATTGTGCCATGGGGCAAGCTCTTCTCCCATTGGTGAGCTTTGTCAGCAGAGACATAGGGAAGAGTCTCAGCTTGATGGCATCTTCAGAGACACCATTGATCTTGGTCAAGTCACATAACCTATCAAACTCATCAAGGTGATCAATGGGGTCTTCACTTGGCAATCCATGGAACATCTTGTTCTGCACAAGGTTGATCATACCCAGCTTGATCTCAAAGTTGTGGTTCTGACAGGTGGTGGGACAATCCCTTGTCTTTGTTGATGGCGGTTTGGAGCATCTCCTAGACCAATCGGTCGAGGTTGCCTAGCTCGACCGAGTCCATTGCCCAAAGGGTTTCCATTACCCTCTGGTACTTCCATGGTATCAGTAACAAGCACCTCAGGTTCCACTTGTACCCTCTGAGTCCTCTGACTTCTCTTTCTACCCGTGGTGAAATCTAGCTCGACCAAGTCTTCTGTTATTCGACTCGATCGAGTTCGCATACACCTACAAAAAGAATCAAAAACCCAGCAATACAAAGAACAGGGGTGGGATAGCTTGATCGTCCAAGTGTATTGGAAACTCAAATGCAACAGTATTCAACCCAAATGGCAACGGCGCCAAATTGATGATAGGATTTTATGTGTGTGTGATGATATGAAATGTAAATGATATGTAAATGAGGTGGAATGCAACAGTGGTAAATGAAGATGGGATGGTATGGTGCAAAACACAATCACAATCAATCAATTCCCCTTAACCATCATAGTCATTGAAGTATAAGGGGTATCAATCCATAAGGGTGAAATTGTTACTCTATGAGATATGCAATCACAAGAAAGTCAAGCCAAATAATTAAAAGGAGGGATGCAAAAACTAACAACCTCAGGAAATGAAATGCAGTGCAATAAATAAAAGAAAGCAGTAAAGCAAGCAGCTCGACCAAGGACTCGATCGAGTGGGAACAGAGTAACCAAGCTCGGTCGAGTTGAGGGTCGAGTTAGCGTAAAAAGCGATAAAGGCAGGAACTTTAACAAGCTAATGCGAATATTAGGGTCTAAGACAGGGTCTTACAACTAGGGAAAGACTATACTTAATCAATCTTGCTCTTAAACAACTTGTATCAAGGTATCTCTTGATATTGAGCTTCTCAATGCCTAGCTAGCCCTTTCCCAAGGTGAAAGCTATCATCCAAGACATGATCTCAGAAACAGGGGGTTAGCCAGTGAGAATCAAGCCTTGGAGGCAGTAGGATCATTGCTCAAACTAATCCATCCAACACCTATGAACTCCATTTCGAGAGCAAGGTTTATTGGAGCTCTTAGTGGACCTTTTCAAGCGATTTCCCTAGAGGAGATAAAGATAAACAACTGTTATTGAAATAAGCAAGTGCAAATACAAAGCGAAATAGCCTAGATCTAAGGTTCAAGGAGCATGAAGCTCAAGAACACAAAGATTGGCTTAAGAGTTGCAAAAAGTAAAAATACAAGATTAAAGAAAAGCTAAAACAAAAATAAGCTAAAGATTGTTGTCTTTTTCGTGGCTTAGAGCCTTTAAATACAAAGAGATTAGGTTTAGGGTCAAAGGGAAGTCAAGGGGGAAGCAACATTTTTCGGGTTTGACTGTTGACTTCTCAGCTCGATCGAGTTGAAGCTTGGCCGGTCGAGTTGAGGAACTCGACCGGATGGTCGAGTAGGTGGTCGAGCTGACTTCAAGATGGTTCCTCCTTCGTCCTTGCGTGTGTGGCTGAGCTGCGTCCATGCACCAAGTCCTTCCTTGCTCCTCACGTCCCAAATGCTCCAAAGTGCACCAAAAGACCTATTTCAAGGACCAAACATGCATATGTATGCAAATGCAACCTAAAACTACTATGAATGCACAAGAAGGGAAAAGGAACAAGATATGATGCTAATGGATGCTAAAACTATGCAAAAGATGCATAAAAGATGTGCTAAAACCATGTAAAATGCAAGTACATCAGTCTAGACGATGCTCTGCACAAAGCCAGAAGAAGAATATGAGATATTCGAGGGAAAATTTAATGCCGGCCTCCTAGGCTCGGGATCGAACCCCCAGAAAAAACCGCCAATGAGAGAACCTTAAGGCAAAAACATACATGTTGTAGCTAACAGCAATCAACGACCGAGCAAACACTCAGCTTATGATGACAAGAAATTTTGCAAATATCACAAACGATACGGACATTCAACAGAAGAATGCCGAAACCCAGATTATGTTCCTAAGGCAAGAAGGAACGACGAAAATAACCAGGAGCCTTCGCAAGAAGAAGACGTCGATGAAACACTACCGACAGCTCCTAACGCTAAAAAGCCTCCTCCTAAAAACATCAAAAGAGGAATCGAGACGTGGACGAGGACGACACTCCCCCTCCCGCGTTTAAGCAACGGATCCCACCTGCACCCAAAAAGACTTTATGCCAACGCCTTAGCGAGCTAAGACTTTGCAAGGGGGGTGTAGAGGCATATGCCCCCAAAAGAATAAACTTCATATCGGGCTGCTCAGAATTCTGCCGAAATTCAGTAAATTCGATCAAAGCTTTTCAACAAAAAGCTAGCTCTAGCTCGAATAATCCCCGGACTCTGACTGAGCCGGACACCGAAATCGCATTCCTTGAAAGAAAAATGCTCAACTTACACAAACCACATGACGACGCTCTCGTCGTCCAGCTCGACGTAGCAAGGATTCGAGCTGTCGAGAATAATGATCGATACTGGAAGCTCAGTCGATCTGCTGTTCTATGATGCATTTAGAAGAATGGGATTCACGCATTCCGATCTAACTGACAGAAAAATCCCACTTAGGGCTTTGCTGGAGAAACGACTTACTCGCTCTCGGAACTATCCAACTTGTAGTTACTGCAGGAGGAATCCGAAAACCGATAAGCTTCGTCGTAGTAGATCGCCCAGCCACATATAACGCTATATTGGGCAGACCCTGGATCTACACGATGAAAGCATTACCTTCAACTTATCACCATTGTGTTAAATTCCCGACCTCCAGCAGAATTAAAGCGATACGCGGAAACCAGAAAAACGCTAGAATGTGCTACATGACCTCGTTCAAACAATTTGCGAGTGCTCCAGCATAGCAACTACAATAAAATGATAAACGACTCGAGCGGGAGTTAGAAAGCTTCAAGGACCCCACTACGAGGGAACCAGATAAAAAACTCCTCACCGAAGTTTGTCAAGACGACGAACATCCCGACAAATGTGTAAACATTGGTTCGGAGCTCAGTGGTTCAATCAAAGTCGAACTAATCGCCTTCCTAAAAGAAAATATAGACTCTTTCGCCTGGGAAACATCAGACATGCCTGGTATCAGCATTGACATAACGTCACACGAGCGAACGTCGACTCTTCGCATAAACCCGTCAAGCAAAAACGACGCAAGCTTGGGCCCGAAAGGGCAAAAGCAGTCAATGACGAAGTTTACCGATTACTCAAAATAGGCTCAATTCGCGAGGTCAAGTACCCCGATTGGCTAGCTAATCCCGTGGTAGTAAAAAGGAAAAACGGGAAGTGGAGGATATGCATAGACTTCACCAACTTGAACAAAGCCTGTCCAAAAGATAGCTTCCCACTGCCACATATAGACCGGCTCAAAGAAGCTACAGCCGGACACGAGCTGCTATCGTTTATGGACGCATTTTCCGGGTATAATCAGATCCTGATGAACCAGGAAGACCAAGACAGATCGCGACATATACTGCTATAAGGTCATGCCATTTGGCCTAAAGAATGCTGGAGCCACTTACCAACGTCTAGTGAACAAAATGTTCAAAAACTTACTCGGAAAGACCATGGAAGTGTATATCAACGATATGCTCGTTAAATCCGCTCGAGAACTAGATCACGTTCTACAACTCCGAGAATGCTTCACGATCATCAATAAATATGGGATGAAACTCAACACAGCCAAATGTTCCTTCGGGGTAGAATCAGACGAATTCCTTGGTTACCTGGTAACAGAACGAGGAATCGAAGCAAACCCAAAACAAATCACAACTTTCCTCGAGATGCCGTCTCCTAAGACAACTCGAGAAGTGCAAATATTAACCGGACGGATAGCAGCACTGAATCGCTTCATATCCCGATCCACAGACAAGTGTTTACCCTTCTATCAGATCCTGAAAGGAAACAAAAAGTTCCAGTGGAGCGATGAGTGTGAATCAGTGATGTACTTGCATTTTACATAGTTTTAGCACATCTTTTATGCATCTTTTGCATAGTTTTAGCATCCATTTGCATCATATCTTGTTCCTTTTCTCTTCTTATGCATTCATGTTAGTTTTAGGTTGCATTTGCATACATATGCATGTTTGGTCCTTTGAAATAGGTCTTTTGGAGCATTCTGGAGCATATGGGACATGAGGAGCATGGAGGGACTTGGCATGGACGCAGCTCAACTGGATACGCAAAGGAAGAAGGAGAAGCCATCTTGAAGACCAGCTCGACCACCTACTCGACCAACCGGTCGAGTTCCTCAACTCGACCGGCCAAGCTTCAACTCGATCGAGCTGAGAAGTCAACAGTCAAACCCGAAAAATGTTGCTTCCCCCTTGACTTTCCTTTGACCCTAAACCTAATCCTCTTGTATTTAAAGGCTAAAAGCCACGAAAAAACCACCAAGCTTTAGATTACTTTTGTTTTAGTTTCTTTTAATTTATTGTCTTTTACTTTTTAGAGCTCTAATCCCATCTTTGTGTTCTTGAAGCTCTTGCTTCTTGAATCCTAGATCCTGGATAATCTTTTGTATTTGCACTTGCTTATTTCAATAAAAGTTGTTTATTTCATCTCCTCTTTCTTATGATGTCTCTTTTATTGCATTTGCTTGTGTTTACATTCATGTGTAGTGAGTAGTTACCCATTAGGGTTTGAGATGGGATAGATTAGAGGTTTCATATGCTTAATCCTTCTTGCTTATGGTCTTAATCTAGATTCTCTCTCTTTTGGATAGATCTTAAGGCTACATGACCACTACCCCTGGCTTGTAAGTCCTTAGGCGATTCTCCACATGGAAGTGATGGAAATTCGCTGGAAAAGATCCACTAAGAGCTCCAATATCTCTTGCTCTAGAAATAGAGGTCTAAGGGGTTGGATGGATTAGTTTGGGCAATGATCCTATGGCCTCCAAGGTTTGATTCTCACTGGCTAACCCCCTGTTTCTGAGATCATTCCTTGGTTGATAGCCTCACCTTGGGAAAGGGTTGGCTAGGCATTGAGAAGCCCAATATCAAGAGAAGCCTTGATACAAGGAGTTTTAAGAGCAGATGATTAAGTGTAGCTTCCCTGATTGCAAAACCCTGTCTTGAACCCTAATTCTCGCATTAGCTTGTTAAAGTCGCTGCCTTTATTGCTTTTTACTTCAACTCGACCCTAAACTCGATCGAGCTGGTACTCTGTTCCACTCGACTCGAGTCCTTGGTCGAGCTGTTGCTTACTGCTTTTCTTTTATTCTGCATTGCATTTCATTTTTTAGGTTGTTAGTGTTACCCCATATCATTTACTGCTTGCTTGACTTCCTGGTTGTTTCATATTCTCATAGAGTGACAAGTTTCCCATTTTGGATTGATAACCCTTTATGCTATAATATATGGTTAAAGGGAATTGTTGACTGTGTTTGTGTTTGCATCTTACCACCTCATCATATACCACTGTTGCATTCCACCACATCTCATTTCATATCATTTCACACCACACACAAATCCTATCATCAATTTGGCGCCGTTGCCGATTTGGGATTATTTTGTTGCATTTGAGTTTCAAACACACTTGGACGATCAAGCTATACCACCCCTGTTCTATTGTACTGCTGGGTTTTTGTCTCTTTTTGCAGGTGTATGCGAACTCGATCGAGTCGGTCTACAGAGACTTGGTCGAGCTAGACTTTACAACGGGTAGAAAGAGGGTTCAGAGGTCACAGAGGGTACAAGAGGAACCTGAGGTGCTTGTTGCTGATACAATGGATGTACCAGAGGGGAATGGAAACCCTTTGGGCAATGGACTCGGTCGAGCTAGGCAAACTCGACCGATTGGTCTAGGAGATGCTCCAAACCGCCACCAACAGAGACAAGGGATTGTTCCACCACCAGTGCAGAACCACAACTTTGAGATCAAGCTGGGAATGATCAACCTTGTTCAGAACAAGATGTTCCATGGATTGCCAAGTGAAGACCCCATTGACCACCTTGATGAGTTTGATAGGCTTTGTGATTTGACAAAGATCAATGGTGTCTCTGAAGATGCCATCAAGCTGAGACTCTTTCCTATGTCTCTAGCTGACAAAGCTCACCAATGGGAGAAGAGCTTGCCCCATGGCACAATCACCACTTGGGATGAATGCAAGAAGGCCTTTCTTGCTAAGTTTTTCTCCACCGGTCGCACAGCCAAGCTTAGAGGAGAGATATCCAGCTTCATCCAGCGAAACAATGAGACATTCGCTGAGGCTTGGGAGAGGTTCAAAGGCTACACAAGTCAGTGCCCACACCATGGATTCAACAATGAATCACTACTCTCTACTCTTTATAGAGGATGCTTGCCTAGGTATAGGGAGATGCTAGACACAGCTAGCAATGGGAACTTCCTCAACCAGGATGTAGATGATGGCTGGCAGCTTGTGGAGAACATGCCATATCAATGGAAGCTATGGAGAAGAGTATGATACAACTGGAGCTCGACCGCACCACTCGATCGAGCTGGAAGCACAAATGAGAAAAGATATGCTTGCATCTGAACTCGAAGTTGGACAAACTGATCCTAGCCCAATTCCCTGCCAAGCATGTCAACTATGTCTCTGGAAAAGCTCAGTTAAAGACCAGGAAGGGGAGGAGAACCAACATGAGGTTTGCTATATTCAAAATAGACAAGGAGGTTTTAGGAATCTTCAGCAAGGATATAACATTGCCTATGGACAACAAGGGACATACTCCACCTATCCAAACACCTTGCCGCAACAACACCCCAGTGTACTGATGATAGGATTTGTGTGTGATGTGATAGATATGAAATGAGATGTGGTGGAATGCAACAGTGGTAAATGATGAGGTGGTAAGATGCAAACACAAACACAGTCAACAATTCCCTTTAACCATCATAGTCATTAAGTATAAAGGTTATCAATCCATAAGGGTGAGATGTTGCTCTATGAGAATATGCAAACACAAGAAAGTCAAGCCAAATGATTAAAAGGAGGGATGTAACAACTAAACAACCTAATATAACGGAAATGCAATGCAGAATGTAAAAGAAAGCAGCTAAATGCAAGAAATTAACAAGAACAAGCAGATGCAATGGAGCTCGACCAAGAGCTCGATCGAGTTGATGAGCTCGACCAAGAGCTCGATCGAGTTGATGAGCTCGATCGAGTTGGTGAGCTCGATCGAGTTGAGGGTCGAGTTGGTGTAAAAACAGAGGAAATGCAATGAAAAGCGATAAAGGTGCAAACTTTAAGATGCTAATGCGAATATTAGGGTTAAAGACAGGGTTTTGCAGCTAAAGGGAGGCTATACTTAATCAGCCTTGCTCTTAAACAACTTGTATCAAGGTATCTCTTGATATTGAGCTTCTCAATGCCTAGCTAACCCTTTCCCAAGGTGAAAGCTATCAACCAAGACTTGATCTCAGAAACAGGGGGTTAGCCAGTGAGAATCAAGCCTTGGAGGCCATAGGATCATTGCTCAAACTAATCCATCCAACCCCTTAGACCTCTATTTCTAGAGCAAGAGATATTGGAGCTCTTAGTGGACCTTTCCAACGATTTCCATCACTTCCATGTGGAGAATCGCTATGGACATACAAGCCAGGGATAGTGGTCATGTAGCCTTAAGGTTTGTCCAAAAGAGAGAGATTTCTAGATTAAGAACATAAGCAAGAAGGATTAAGCATAAACAACCTCTAACCTATCCCATCTTAAGCCCTAAAGGGAACTACTCACTACACATGGTGAAATAAACAACCAAATGCAATGAATGAACATCAAAAGATAGAGGAGATGATATAGAACAACTTTTATTGAAATAGAGAAGTGCAGAAATACAATAATAAAGCCTAGATCTAAGGTTCAATGAGCAAGAGCTCAAGAACACAAAGAGAGGCTAAAAAGTAAAAAGGGAAATGCAAATACAAGATTAAATAAAAGTTGAGCAAAAGCTATGTTTAATTCGTGGCTCAATGCCATTTATAGTAAAGCAAACTAGGTTTAGGGTCAAAGGGGAGTCAAAGGGAAGCAACATTTTTCGGGTTTGACTTTGACTCCTGGAAAAGCAGCTCGATCGAGTTGGAAACTGGCCGGTCGAGCTGGTGGGTCGAGTCCAACCAATATCGTCGTATCTTCTGAAACCCACCTCCAGACGAAAGCTAACTCAATTATCCACAACTTCCAAGAAGAAGTCAGAGGCTGAATCGGAGTGGAAACCCTTCATTTGATACGATACTTCGGACGCATCTCACTAGCTCGACCGAGTGCGGGTCCGTACATGGGGCAGACAGAGTCTTTCCTTCCTCAACTAGTCTCCAGTGATAGGCAATGTTCCAATTAGCTCCAAATGACCTGATTAAGACATCAAACGTGCACATGTATGCAAATGCAAGCCTAAAACTACTATGTATGCAAAAGAAGGGAAAACATCAAGAAATGATGCTTGGGTGAATGAAACTATGCAAAAGATGCATAAAAGAAGGGCTAAAACCATGTAAAATGCAAGTACATCAACACCCCCAAACTTGACTTTGCTTGCCCTCAAGCAAACAAATATAACAAGAAAGGGATGAGGTTTGAAAACAAATTGATTCAACCCTCAAAAGCGATTTGCTAAATGTCCAACTTAGAGATTCTAGAATGCAACAAGGTGAGAGATATTCATTAAGATTTAACCATGCTTATCAACATCAATCCCACTTCACAGTCACTCAAACAATGCATTCAAATCAGCAAATCCCTTTAACATTCATTAAGCAAAAACAGTGAACCAAAAACATGCAAGATCAATCAACTCATTTGGTTTCAAGGGTTTATGGGTCAAGAGACAAAGAGGGTCTCTTTTGTATGGTGGTTTAGTAACAGGGATCTCTCAAGAAAGTGGTTTGCTTTGGCAGAAGGCTAAGTGTTAGAACCAAAGATGGTGCAAGGACAGCAACTCGAGCCGCCTAATCCTAACTCGATCGAGTTCAACACTTAGAGCTTTTTAGAACAAAATCCTAACTACCCTTTTTGGCATTTCGCCTTTGAAACTGAGGAGCTTTGCTCACTTTTCTTTTAAGAACATCCTAGGGAGAGGCTTCTTGAGGTAACATCTAGCGGTTTGGGATTTCTAAACACTTAGGGAACTTTTCTTCACTTTTTGACACTTGAGGCTTTGCCTTCTTTTCTTTCTACTTAGAACCCTTTTCACTTTCTTTTTTTAACTTCCCAAACCTTTACTAGACCCTTTTTTAACACTGCCAACTCCCTGGACTTAACTAAACTCTTTTTCCTTTGGATTTTCCCAACTTTTACCACTTTTCTGTTTTTACCCTCAACTCGATCGAGCTCGAGTTGGCACCCCCAAACTTAGCCTGAAAACAATCCCAAGAGAACTAGACAACTAGAACTACTGCCCCTGCCGGTTTAAACACAACACCTTATGCTAAGCAAAGCCAAGAAAGGTTCTCACAATCGCACAAGAGATAATATGGGGTTTGAAATGAAAAAGGCTTAGGTTTAAGGTGGGGTAACTGTCTCAAGTTGGAGATCAGCTATCTGGACAAGCAAGAGGAATATGAATATGAAAATAGCTATCTGGATCAGCTATCTGGACAACAGCTATCATTTATGTTTAGTGAGTAGTTACCCATTAGGGTTTGAGATGGGATAGATTAGAGGTTTCATATGCTTAATCCTTCTAGCTTATGGTCTTAATCTAGATTCTCTCTCTTTTGGATAGATCTTAAGGCTACATGACCACTACCCCTGGCTTGTAAGTCCTTAGGCGACTCCCCACACGAAAGTGATGGCATTCGCTGGAAAAGATCCACTAAGAGCTCCAATATCTCTTGCTCTAGACAATAGAGGTCTAAGGGGTTGGATGGATTAGTTTGGGCAATGATCCTATAGCCTCCAAGGTTTGATTCTCACTGGCTAACCCCCTGTTTCTGAGATCATTCCTTGGTTGATAGCCTCCACCTTGGGAAAGGGTTGGCTAGGCATTGAGAAGCCCAATATCAAGAGAAGCCTTGATACAAGGAGTTTTAAGAGCTAGATTGATTAAGTGTAGATTCCTTTGATTGCAAAACCCTGTCTTGAACCCTAATTCTCTCTTTATCTTGTTAAAGTCGTCACCTTTAGCTTTGTTTGTCTCAACTCGTCCCTAAACTCGATCGAGCTGGTACTTTGCTCTACTCGACTCGAGCTCTTGGTCGAGCTGACACTTCACTGCTTTGTTTACTTTTATTGCACTGCTTTTCATTATTTTTAGGTTGTTAGTGTTACTTCAAATCTATAACTGCTTGCTTGACTTTCAGGTTGTTTCATATTCTCAAAGAGTGACAAGTTTCCCATTTTGGATTGATAACCTCTTATACTTCATGACTATGATGGTTAAGAGGAATTGATTGATTGTGATTGCACCATACCATATCCACTTTGCATTCCACCTCATTTCATATCACACACACACAAAATCCTATCATCAATTTGGCGCCGTTGCCGATTTGGGAATATTTTTGTTGCATTTGAGTTTCAAACACACTTGGACGATCAAGCTATACCACCCCTGTTCTATTGTACTGCTGGGTTTTTGTCTCTTTTTGCAGGTGTATGCGAACTCGATCGAGTCGGTCAACTGAAGACTTGGTCGAGCTAGACATTACAACGGGTAGAAAGAGGGTTCAGAGGTCACAGAGGGTACAAGAGGAACCTGAGGTGCTTGTTGCTGATACAATGGATGTACCAGAGGGGAATGGAAACCCTTTGGGCAATGGACTCGGTCGAGCTAGGCAAACTCGACCGATTGGTCAAGGAGATGCTCCAAACCGCCACCAACAGAGACAAGGGATTGTTCCACCACCAGTGCAGAACCACAACTTTGAGATCAAGCTGGGAATGATCAACCTTGTCCAGAACAAGATGTTCCATGGATTGCCAAGTGAAGACCCCATTGACCACCTTGATGAGTTTGATAGGCTTTGTGATTTGACAAAGATCAATGGTGTCTCTGAAGATGCCATCAAGCTGAGACTCTTTCCTATGTCTCTAGCTGACAAAGCTCACCAATGGGAGAAGAGCTTGCCCCATGGCACAATCACCACTTGGGATGAATGCAAGAAGGCCTTTCTTGCTAAGTTTTTCTCCACCGGTCGCACAGCCAAGCTTAGAGGAGAGATATCCAGCTTCATCCAGCGAAACAATGAGACATTCGCAGAGGCTTGGGAGAGGTTCAAAGGCTACACAAGTCAGTGCCCACACCATGGATTCAACAATGAATCACTACTCTCCACTCTTTATAGAGGATGCTTGCCTAGGTATAGGGAGATGCTAGACACAGCTAGCAATGGGAACTTCCTCAACCAGGATGTAGATGATGGCTGGCAACTTGTGGAGAACATAGCTAACTCAAATGGAAGCTATGGAGAAGAGTATGATCGCACCAACCGGAGCTCGACCCACCACTCGATCGAGTCAGACGAAAAGTTGAGAAAAGATGTTAAGGCATTGAATGAGAAGTTGGATAAGCTGATCCTAGCTCAGTCCACAATGAAGAAAGTCAACTTTGTGTCTGCTGAGGAGATGGAACCAGTCCAAGAAGGGGAGGATACACAATTTGCTGAGGTGTGCTACATGAGCAATGGGCAAGGAGGTTACAACAAAGGATACTATAATTACAAGTCCAACCCTGCCATGTCATACCGCAACACTGATGTTGCTAACCCTCAGGACCAAGTATATCCTCAACAACAAGCAGCTCGATCGAGTCAGGTGCCACAACATGGGTATGGTCAAAAGAACAATTACCAAGGACCACAAGGCACTTTCCCTGGACAACAAATGAATATCCCACCAGGCTTCCCCCACCAACCGCCCCAGCCTGCACCTTCACAAGAGAATGAGCTCAAAGGCAATGCTAAAGCAACTACTTCAAGGGCAAGCTGATGGGGTAGTGGACACAAGCAAGAAGCTAGCTGAAATAAACTCTAAGATCGAGAACCTCAACACAAGGGTTTACTCTCTGGAGAATCATGCTTCTTCTGTTGCTGCTGCTACAAAGCAAGGACAACTACCTGGTAAAGCTATTCAGAACCCCAAGGAACAGTGCAAGGTCATCTTCACTCAAGAAGGACTTGTTGAAGAAGAGGATCAAGAAAGGGTCATTGAAGATTTTTGTTTACTGCTGAATGATGAAGAGATTGTTGCTGCTGAGGCTCCTGGAGTCCAGATTGATCAACCAGAAGTGCATGCACCTACTGTGGCCATTCACACTTCACCAGTTGAGCTCGCACGACAAGCTCGATCGGCAGCTCGATCGAGTCCAACTCTAGCTCGATCGAGTCCGACCTCTTCTGTCCGACAGCCTGTTTTGCTTGATCCTTATCAACCGGTTGCCGCTTCCTCGTCTCGCCTACTTAGTCAAGGTCACAAGGAAGTGATTCACAAGTTCAGAAGAGATCTCAGTGGGATTGGAATTGAGTTGCCTCCTATGGATAGCATGAGTGAGGCATTTGATCAAATGCAAATGGTCAAGGATGTTCTAGCCAACAGTGATAAAGTTTCAGAGGTCCTACAAGAGTCTACTCATCAGTTCAACCTGCTTACTTCACCCACCTTCCTACCAAAGGTCAAGGATCAAGGGAAATTCACTCTCCCTTGCACACTTGGGCATCTTGAGATTGACAATGCCTTAGTGGATTCTGGAGCAAGCATCAATCTGATCTCTCTCTCCATGGCAGAGAAGCTAGGCATAGCTGGAGCCTTGCAGCGCCCTACTACTTCAATCATGTTTGGAGATGCAACTTCTAAGTCTCCTCTTGGAGTGTTCAAGAACTATCACTTGAAAATTGGAGAATGCATCATCCAAACTGATCTCACTGTGATGGAAATGGAAGAAGAGAAGGATTTGCCTCTGTTATTGGGAACCCCTTTCCTTAGTACAGTTGGCGCTTCAATAGACTTTCACAAGCAAGAAGTGATCCTTCACAAGGTGAATAGTTTGGTGTCATATCGCTTGCAGCCTAGAGGTTCAGACTTTTGTGCCACAATTGACAGTAACGAAGTTAAAGGAGCTTCTGTCTCAAGTCCTCACTATCACCCTTGATGGTGGGACTAGCTCAACCAATGCCTAGAAGGTAAAGGTCAAGCTATGGGAATTTCAAATTCATAACCGTTTTCTTGGTCAAGGGAGTGGGTCCCACAAGCTGATTTTGGTCCCCCCACTACCCTATTTTGATCAGAGAATCCCTAGTTTCTTGTTCCCTCTTTATTTCATCTTTTAATCTCAACCACACATCTCAAACACCCTCTCCCCCATAACTCGATCGAATCCACCTTCCCCACTCTCCCACACTTTAAAATTTCTGAAACCTATCTCTCTCTCATCACCACAAGAAACTTTCGAAATTTCAACCTTCCTCTCTTAAAAGTTTTTGCGATTTCTTCTTGTTCTTCAATTGTTTTGCTTGGGTTTTTGTTTACTGCTCTTCAATTCCTCATTCAACAAGGTATGAACCATATAACCCTTCATTCATCCATTACGATTTCCATTATTGCTTGTTTTCTCTTTGAATTTTAATTGCATGTGTCCCTTATGGGATTATCCTTGAGTAATTGCTTTAATATCACTTCTCCTGCCTCATATTTGTTTACCACTGTTAATTTGCCTCACCTCACCTATGTTTTATCATAAGAACTTGTTGCATGTGCTTGAAGGATTGAATTTGAGTTTGGTTTTGGTTAAGATGATCTCTATAGTTGCTCATTGTTCCATTTACTAGTTGTTCTTGGTTCAATTTGGTTGATTATCATCTTTTCCAGCTTTTAATCTTGAATTAGGTTTGGTTACACTCTGTTTTCACCAAACTCGATCGAGTTTATCACTCGAGTTTTTTGACTCGATCGAGCTGGGTGTCGAGTTGACCAAACCGATTATTGCAACTCTAATTTTTTGTAATCTTTGATGCATTTCAGGTACTTTAGTGAAGAAACAGAGTAACAAGGATGACAAACAATGAGGGAAGCCGCGCTTCACAGAGGAGAATGGTTGAGGGTGAGTCAAGCAATGCAAGAGAGACAAGGCTTAAGATGCAAGCCGATTTGAAGAGGATGGATCAGAGGATGGAAGGGTCTGATGCAGAGGAGTATGTCTACTCTGAGGAACAATCTGAGAGTGAGAGGCTGAGGGAAGAAAGGAGAACCAAGAAGAGGAATGACCCTATAAGTAGTGAGAGTGAGCAAGGGGAGTTTGAGATTGGAGTGAACTTTGTTCAAGAGGGGGGAAATGGCTCTCCAAATGAGGAAGGCAGTGAGGAAACTGAGAGTGATGAGGAGGGAGAAAAGGTGAACCAATTGGTTGATGAAGATGATCAAGAGGGGAACCAAGATGAGCCAATGGAAGAGGTTGAGGAAGAGCAAGAGGAGGATGAGCTCCCCATGTACTGATGTACTTGCATTTTACATAGTTTTAGCACATCTTTTATGCATCTTTTGCATAGTTTTAGCTTCCATTTGCATCATATCTTGTTCCTTTTCTCTTCTTATGCATTCATGTTAGTTTTAGGTTGCATTTGCATACATATGCATGTTTGGTCCTTTGAAATAGGTCTTTTGGAGCATTCTGGAGCATATGGGACATGAGGAGCATGGAGGGACTTGGCACATGGAAGCAGCTCAACTGGATACGCAAAGGAAGAAGGGAGAAGCCATCTTGAAGACCAGCTCGACCGTCCACTCGACCAACCGGTCGAGTTCCTCAACTCGACCGGCCAAGCTTCAACTCGATCGAGCTGGGGAGTCAAAGTCAAACCCGAAAAATGTTGCTTCCCCCTTGACTTTCCTTTGACCCTAAACCTAATCCTCTTGTATTTAAAGGCTCTAAGCCACGAAAAAACCACCAAGCTTTAGATTATTTTGTTTTAGCTTTTTTTATTGTCTTTTACTTTTTAGAACTAATCCCATCTTTGTGTTCTTGAAGCTCTTGCTTCTTGAATCTTAGATCCTGGATTAATCTCTTTGTATTTGCACTTGCTTATTTCAATAAAAGTTGTTTAATTTCATCTCCTCTTTCTTATGATGTCTCTTTTATTGCATTTGCTTGTGTTTACATTCATGTGTAGTGAGTAGTTACCCATTAGGGTTTGAGATGGGATAGATTAGAGGTTTCATATGCTTAATCCTTCTAGCTTATGGTCTTAATCTAGATTCTCTCTCTTTTGGATAGATCTTAAGGCTACATGACCACTACCCCTGGCTTGTAAGTCCTTAGGCGACTCCCCACACGAAGTGATGGCATTCGCTGGAAAAGATCCACTAAGAGCTCCAATATCTCTTGCTCTAGACAATAGAGGTCTAAGGGGTTGGATGGATTAGTTTGGGCAATGATCCTATAGCCTCCAAGGTTTGATTCTCACTGGCTAACCCCCTGTTTCTGAGATCATTCCTTGGTTGATAGCCTCCACCTTGGGAAAGGGTTGGCTAGGCATTGAGAAGCCCAATATCAAGAGAAGCCTTGATACAAGGAGTTTTAAGAGCTAGATTGATTAAGTGTAGATTCCTTTGATTGCAAAACCCTGTCTTGAACCCTAATTCTCTCTTTATCTTGTTAAAGTCGTCACCTTTACTTTTTTTCTCAACTCGACCCTAAACTCGATCGAGCTGGTGCTCTGCTCGACTCGAGTCCTTGGTCGAGCTGACTTACTTACTGCTTTGTTTACTTTTATTGCACTGCATTTTCATTTTTAGGTTGTTAGTGTTACTTCAAATCTATAACTGCTTGCTTGACTTTCTGGTTGTTTCATATTCTCATAGAGTGACAAGTTTCCCATTTTGGATTGATAACCTCTTATACTTCAATGACTATGATGGTTAAGAGGAATTGTTGATTGTTGTGTTTGCATCTTACCATCATCATATTCACCCTGTTTGCATTCCACCTCATATCTTATCATCTTCATTCATATCACACACACACAAAACCTATCATCAATTTGGCGCCGTTGCCGATTTGGGAATATTTTTGTTGCATTTGAGTTTCAAACACACTTGGACGATCAAGCTATACCACCCCTGTTCTATTGTACTGCTGGGTTTTTGTCTCTTTTTGCAGGTGTATGCGAACTCGATCGAGTCGGTCTAACTGAAGACTTGGTCGAGCTAGACTTACAACGGGTAGAAAGAGGGTTCAGAGGTCACAGAGGGTACAAGAGGAACCTGAGGTGCTTGTTGCTGATACAATGGATGTACCAGAGGGGAATGGAAACCCTTTGGGAATGGACTCGGTCGAGCTAGGCAAACTCGACCGATTGGTCAAGGAGATGCTCCAAACCGCCACCAACAGAGACAAGGGATTGTTCCACCACCAGTGCAGAACCACAACTTTGAGATCAAGCTGGGAATGATCAACCTTGTCCAGAACAAGATGTTCCATGGATTGCCAAGTGAAGACCCCATTGACCACCTTGATGAGTTTGATAGGCTTTGTGATTTGACAAAGATCAATGGTGTCTCTGAAGATGCCATCAAGCTGAGACTCTTTCCTATGTCTCTAGCTGACAAAGCTCACCAATGGGAGAAGAGCTTGCCCCATGGCACAATCACCACTTGGGATGAATGCAAGAAGGCCTTTCTTGCTAAGTTTTTCTCCACCGGTCGCACAGCCAAGCTTAGAGGAGAGATATCCAGCTTCATCCAGCGAAACAATGAGACATTCGCAGAGGCTTGGGAGAGGTTCAAAGGCTACACAAGTCAGTGCCCACACCATGGATTCAACAATGAATCACTACTCTCCACTCTTTATAGAGGATGCTTGCCTAGGTATAGGGAGATGCTAGACACAGCTAGCAATGGGAACTTCCTCAACCAGGATGTAGATGATGGCTGGCAACTTGTGGAGAACATGGCCATATCAACAGAATGCTATGGAGAGCACTATGAAAGTACAGATGGAGCTCGACCGCACTCGATCGAGCTGGACGCTCAGATGAGAAAAGACATGCTTGCACTCAACTCGAAGTTGGACAAACTGATCCTAGCCCAATTCCCTGCCAAGCATGTCAACTATGTCTCAGAACAAACCTTAGTCAAGGACCAGGAAGGGGAGGAGACAACACAAGAAGTTTGCTACATTCAAAATAGACAAGGAAGCTATAGGAATCCTCAACAAGGGCGATACAACAATTATCAAGCCCCCTGGCCGCACCTACAACAAAGTGTTCCACAAGGCTTCAACACAAGGACTACTCATACCCAACCAACTCATGATTGGGATATGAAGGAAATGCTCCAACAACTTTTACAAGGGCAAGCCAAAGGTTCTCTGGAAATGAACAACAAGCTGGTTGAGATACACTCTAAACTAGAGTCATTGACTTCAAGAGTCCAAATCATTGAGTCTTCAAGTGCATCATCCTCTTCACCACAAGAGTATGCCCAAGCAGTTACACTAAGAAGTGGAAAGCAATTCCCGAGTAGAGGTAGCCCACCCCAAATCGCTGTGGACATCGATGACGAGGAAGGGGAGGATTTAGTCGACTATGCTGATAACTCGACTCCGAACTCGATCGAGCTGGAACAAAACCCTGAACCAGAACTCGATCGAGCTGAAGAAACTGAGACACTGCAAGACAAACCAGAGCTCGATCGAGCTGAGAAGAGAGCAGACAAAGCAAACTCCAGCCAACCAGCTAAACCTGTTGCAAAGAAGAAAGACACTCCAGCAGGACCACCACCATACAAGCCCCCTCTGCCCTTTCCAGGAAGGTTCAAGAAACAACTGTTGGAAGCACACAAGGCCAAGTTTGATGAACTAATGAGACAGCTTGAGTTGAAGTTGCCCTTCATCGATGCCTTGATGCTCATTTCAGCAGCAAAGAACCAGGGAAGCACAAGGGATGGTAGTGTTGACTCGCGAGTGCAGTGCAATCATTCAGCGGAAGGTCATCTCCGACAAAAAGGAAGATCCGGGGAGTTTCACTTTGCCCTGCATGTTGGACCCCTATCTTTCAAAAACAGTCTCTGCGATCTAGGATCATCTGTCAGCCTCATGCCTTTGTCTGTAGCAAAGAGACTGGGATATCACAAGTACCAAGCCTGCGGAATCTCACTAGTCTTGGCAGATAGATCGATAAGGTTACCAACTGGGATGCTTGAAGACCTGCCTTTGAGGATAGGGAATGTGGAAATCCCCACAGACTTCATTGTGCTTGAGATGGATGAGGAACCAACAGATCCATTGATTCTAGGAAGGCCATTCCTAGCTACAGCAAGAGCAATGATAGATGTCTGTGAAGGAACAATTGAGTTAAACTTGGGAAAGGACCTGAAGATGAAGTTTGATATCAAGGATACAATGAGGAAACCAACTATAGAAGGTCAGCTCTTTTATGTTGAGGAAATGGATCAGTTGGCAGATGAGCTTCTAGAAGAGTTATCAACAGAGGATCCACTACAAGTTGCTTTGACCAAGGATTCTTCAGAGGGATATGTGAGCTCAGAAACTGATGAGTACAAGAAGCTCCTTGACACCTTCAGACCAGTTCCAAACATTCTGAGCATTGAGGATTGGACAGGCCAGTTTGCGAAGTCATGGCAGTGAGCTCGATCAAGAACTCGATCGAGTCGAGTTCGAACAAACGAACTCGATCGAGCTGGGGACTGAAGCAAGGAGCAAGCTCAAGGAGATTGGTCTGAGCTTAAGGCGCCTAAAGTCGACCTCAAACCTTTGCCTGAGGGCCTCAGGTATGCATTTCTGGGTGAAAACTCAACTTACCCTGTCATTGTGAACTCTGATTTGGAACCTGAACAGTTGAGTGCTTTGCTTGTTGAATTGAGAAAGTACAGAAAGGCAATAGGTTACACTCTAGATGATATCAAGGGGATCTCCCCTGACCTATGCATCCATAGGATTCATCTAGAGGATGAAAGTAAGTCAAGCATTGAACCTCAGAGAAGGTTGAACCCCAATCTAAAGGAAGTAGTGAAGAAAGAGATACTCAAGTTGCTTGATGCTGGGATAATCTATCCCATCAGTGATAGCACTTGGATATCTCCAGTTCATTGCGTCCCAAAGAAAGGGGGGATCACTGTCATTAAAAACGACAAAGAGGAGCTGATTCCCACTAGAACAATAGTGGGGCATCGCATGTGTATTGACTATAGGAAGCTAAATTCAGCATCTAGAAAGGATCATTTCCCTCTCCCTTTCATTGATCAGATGTTAGAAAGATTGGCAAACCACCCTTTTTATTGTTTTCTTGATGGCTACAGTGGTTTCTTCCAAATCCCGATCCACCCTAATGATCAGGAGAAGACCACTTTCACATGCCCTTATGGCACCTTTGCTTATCGAAGGATGCCATTTGGGCTGTGCAATGCCCAGCTACTTTCCAGAGGTGCATGACCTCCATTTTTTCAGATCTGATAGAGGAGATGGTAGAAGTCTTCATGGACGATTTCTCAGTCTATGGAGCATCCTTCTCCTCATGTTTGTCTAACTTGTGCAGGGTGTTGCAGAGGTGTGAGGAGACCAATCTAGTACTCAACTGGGAGAAGTGCCACTTCATGGTTCGAGAAGGGATTGTGCTTGGACACAAGATTTCCGAGAAAGGGATCGAGCTCGATCGAGCTAAGGTGGATGTCATGTTGCAGCTCCCTGTTCCCAAGACTGTGAAGGACATAAGGAGTTTTCTGGGTCATGCAGGGTTCTACAGAAGATTCATCAAGGATTTCTCAAAGATAGCAAGACCCTTGACAAGGCTTCTGTGCAAGGAGACAGATTTTGAGTTTGATGAAGAATGCCACAAGTCTTGGACCTTGCTGAAGGATGCTCTGGTGTCTGCGCCAATAGTTCAAGCTCCAAACTGGGATCACCCATTTGAGATTATGTGTGATGCATCTGACTATGCAGTAGGAGCAGTGCTTGGCCAAAAGATAGACAAGAAACTCAATGTCATCTACTATGCAAGCAAGACTATGGATGATGCTCAGTGCAAGTATGCAACCACAGAGAAGGAGCTCCTTGCCATAGTCTTTGCCTTTGAGAAGTTTCGAAGCTATATAGTTGGATCCAAGGTGATTGTGCACACTGACCATGCTGCCCTTAGACACATCTTCGCTAAGAAAGATACAAAGCCAAGACTTCTCAGATGGATCCTTTTGCTTCAAGAGTTTGACATAGAAGTTGTGGACAAAAAGGGAGTAGAAAATGGAGTTGCTGATCATCTCTCTAGGATGCGAGTTGAAGACATGATCCCCATCAATGATTCTATGCCTGAAGAACAGCTTATGGCAATCATGATCTTGAAGGAGAGTTTTGATGAGAAAGCCAGGCTGGAAGAAGTTAAGGCTCTGCGTGATGAGAATTTGCCATGGTATGCTGATATAGTGAACTTCATGGTGTCCGGAGAAGTCCCTAGTAGCTTTGATGCTTACAAGAGGAAGAAATTCTTCAAGGATGCTAGGCATTACTATTGGGATGAGCCCTACTTGTACAAGAGAGGACCAGACAGCATTTACAGGAGATGCATAGCTGAAGAGGATGTGCAAGGAGTTCTAGAGCATTGCCATGGGTCAGCTTATGGAGGTCACTTTGCTACATTCAAAACAGCAACTAAGGTTTTGCAATCTGGGTTTATGGTGGCCTACTTTGTTTAAGGATGCAGCAGACTACATTGCCAAGTGTGATCCATGCCAAAGGAAAGGAGGGATCACCAAGAGGGACGAGATGCCACTAAACCCAATTCTAGAAGTTGAGATCTTTGATGTATGGGGAATAGACTTCATGGGACCTTTCAAACCTTCTTCAAACGGGCACAACTACATTTTGGTTGCTGTAGACTATGTGTCCAAATGGATTGAAGCCATTCCCTGCCCAACCTGTGATGCCAAGGTGTTGTCAAGCTTTTCAGAACCATCATCTTTCCAAGGTTCGGCATCCCAAGGGTTGTTATTTCAGATGGAGGCTCCCATTTCATCAACAAGGTGTTTGAAAAGTTGATGAGAAGCCATGGAGTCAAACACAAGGTCGCCACGCCTTATCACCCTCAAACCAGTGGGCAAGTTGAAGTCTCCAACAGACAGATCAAGGCCATATTGGAGAAGACTGTGAGCTTCACTAGGAAAGACTGGGCAGCAAGGCTTGATGAAGCACTTTGGGCTTATAGAACAGCTTACAAAACCCCCATTGGAAGGTCTCCTTTCAATTTGCTGTATGGGAAGGATGCCACTTACCTGTGGAGGTCGAATATAAGGCTTTATGGGCAGTAAAGATGCTGAACTTTGATATAAAGGCAGCACAAGAAAGGAGGGTAATGAACTTGTTTGAGCTTGGAGGAGATAAGAATGAATGCCTATGAGAACTCTAGATTTACAAGATGAGAACCAAGGCAGCCCACGACAAACTGATTCGCCTTAAGGACTTCAAGGTTGGGGACAGTGTGCTCTTGTATAACTCCAAGCTAAGGTTGTTTCCCGGGAAGCTGAGGTCAAAGTGGGCGGGACCATTCAAGATTCACGAAGTTCTACCCTATGGGTCCCTCACTTTGCTCAATCAAGAGGGGAAGGAATTCACAGTGAATGGACATAGATGCAAGCCATATCTAGGAATGACCCCCACAGAGGAGATCATCACTCCTCTAGAAGATCCAACCCCGGCCTAAAAGGGGTAAGGTCAAGCTAAGAGACCTAAAACAAGCTCACTTGGGAGGAATTCCCATGTCTATCTTATGTATTTATACTTTATCCTTTTATTTTTATGATTTTTCTTGGCTAAGTCTCACAGGAGCAGGTTTTAGGAAGACGAGTGGCAACTCGAGGCACAACTCGATCGAGTCAAGAGCAAGCTCGATCGAGTGAGCCGAAGACCCAGTTGAGTGGAGTGCTCCTGATGGCCGTCTCCCTCTCCAGACCACGACCTAGCCTCCCAGTTCTTTGGGGGGCACTGAGGTATCCAAACACCAACCCTTGTATATACCATTTCATATTTTCTTGCATTTGTTCTTGTTTTTTCTTGGTTTTGCCCTCTTGAATCTTTCACTAAATTTTTCTCACACAAGGGACTGTGTGATTTAAGTTTGGGGGAGGGTTCAAGAGATGATTTAACCTTGTTTTCTTTGTTCTTAGTTTTTCATTTATCTTTTGCATAGAAAAACCAAAAAAATCATAAAATTTTCAAAAAATCCAAAAATATTTTCATCTTTTTGCATTCATATTTGTTAGACTTGTTTAGGATTGCATTTTTCACTTGCATTGTTGATTTGACTTTGAAAACTTGTCATCTTTGCGATTTCTTGAGTGCCCTGTTTTTAGATTCTTTTGTGCATTAGGGTGAGATTGATTGAGCAGCAAGAACCATGTTTATCTTGATCATATCACTGCATGCACATCTCATTCAACCATTGCTGTGATTTGATGCATTTCCCTATCTATTTGAACCATAACTTGATCTTTAATTACCAATGCTTGCATTTGATTTCAACTCATGGCTACCACATACATATCTGGACATTCTTTATTTTCATATCCCTTTGCTTGTCCAGATAGCTGATCTCTATCTTTGAGACAGTTACCACACCTTAAACCTAAGCCTTTTCATTTCAAACCCCATTATTATCTCTTGTGCGAATGTGAGAACCTTTCTTGGCTTTGCTTAGCATAAGGTGTTGTGTTTAAACCGGCAGGGGCAGTAGTTCTAGTTGTCTAGTTCTCTTGGGATTGTTTTCAGGCTAAGTTTGGGGGTGCCAACTCGAGCTCGATCGAGTTGGGTGTAAAAACCAGAAAAGTGGTAAAAGTTGGGAAAAACCCAAAGGAAAAAGAGTTTAGTTAAGTCCAGGGAGTTGGCAGTGTTAAAAAGGGTCTAGTAAAGGTTTGGGAAGTTAAAAAAGGAAAGTAAAAAGGGTTCTAAGTAGAATGAAAAGAAGGCAAAGCCTCAAGTGTCAAAAAGGAAAGAAAAGTTCCCTAAGTGTTTAGAAAATCCCAAACCGCTAGATGTTACCTCAAGAAGCCTCTCCCTAGGAAGTTCTTAAAAGAAAAGTGAGCAAAGCTCCTCAGTTTCAAAGGCGAAATGCCAAAAAGGGTAGTTAGGATTTTGTTCTAAAAAGCTCTAAGTGTTGAACTCGATCGAGTTAGGATTAGGCGGCTCGAGCTGCTGTTCTTGCATCATCTTTGGTTCTAACACTTAGCCTTCTGCCAAAGCAAAGCCACTTTCTTGAGAGATCCCTGTTACTAAACCACCATACAAAAGAGACCCTCTTTGTCTCTTAACCCATAAACCCTTGAAACCAAATGAGTTGATTGATCTTGCATGTTTTTGGTTCACTGTTTTTGCTTAATGAATGTTAAAGGGATTTGCTGATTTGAATGCATTGTTTGAGTGACTGTGAAGTGGGATTGATGTTGATAAGCATGGTTAAATCTTAATGAATATCTCTCACCTTGTTGCATTCTAGAATCTCTAAGTTGGACATTTAGCAAATCGCTTTTGAGGACATGTTTTTAAGTGTTGAATCAGCTTTTTCAAACCTCATCTCTTTCTTGTTCTATTTGTTTGCTTGAGGGCAAGCAAAGTTCAAGTTTGGGGGTGTTACTTAGTCAAGGTCACAAGGAAGTGATTCACAAGTTCAGAAGAGATCTCAGTGGGATTGGAATTGAGTTGCCTCCTATGGATAGCATGAGTGAGGCATTTGATCAAATGCAAATGGTCAAGGATGTTCTAGCCAACAGTGATAAAGTTTCAGAGGTCCTACAAGAGTCTACTCATCAGTTCAACCTGCTTACTTCACCCACCTTCCTACCAAAGGTCAAGGATCAAGGGAAATTCACTCTCCCTTGCACACTTGGGCATCTTGAGCTTGACAATGCCTTAGTGGATTCTGGAGCAAGCATCAATCTGATCTCTCTCTCCATGGCAGAGAAGCTAGGCATTGCTGGAGCCTTGCAGCGCCCTACTACTTCAATCATGTTTGGAGATGCAACTTCTAAGTCTCCTCTTGGAGTGTTCAAGAACTATCACTTGAAAATTGGAGAATGCATCATCCAAACTGATCTCACTGTGATGGAAATGGAAGAAGAGAAGGATTTACCTCTGTTATTGGGAACCCCTTTCCTTAGTACAGTTGGCGCTTCAATAGACTTTCACAAGCAAGAAGTGATCCTTCACAAGGTGAATAGTTTGGTGTCATATCGCTTGCAGCCTAGAGGTTCAGACTTTTGTGCCACAATTGACAGTACCACTCTCAGTTCTAAGAGTCATGGAGCTACAAAGGTTGTGAAGGAAAGGGTTGACAAAGAACCAAGAGTTGGGAAGGATAAGGATGAGAGAGGACCAAGGATTGAGAAGCCACGTCTTGAGAGGGCTAGAGTTGAGAAACCACGTTCTGATAGGCCACGAGCTGATAGACTTGTTCAAGCCCCTTGTGTGCTTGATGAAGAGAGCCTTCAAGCTTTGTTTGATGAGCCACTAGGAAGGGCTCTAAAAGAAGGGGAGGATGTAGCCTCTAAGGCAAGACCAGGGATAAAAGAAAGGATCCACCAGCTCAGGCCCCTTCAGTCAAGCCATCTCAGCTCACAATGACTTTGTTCCCCACCAAGTTTGAAAATGGGAAGATTGAGTACAAGATAAGGTACAAGGGGAGATCAAGGCCATTCTCTAGAGCCAAGGCCTTGGTGACTTCAGAACAATCCAGGGACCCAACCAAGCTAAAGGAGCTTCTGTCTCAAGTCCTCACTATCACCCTTGATGGTGGGACTAGCTCAACCAATGCCTAAAAGGTAAAGGTCAAGCTATGGGACCTTAAACAAGCTCACTTGGGAGGAAGTCCCATGTTTATCCTTGTACATATTCTATTTATGCAATTTCTATCTATTTTGTGTTTTAACCTTTCAATAAGTTAAGTTTAGGTGTCAAAGGAGCCAGCTCGACCGACAGCTCGATCGAGCTAGAAACCAGGGCAACTCGATCGAGTTCCACAACTCGACCGAGGTAAGTTTTTGAATTTCAAATTTCTAACCGTTTTCTTGGTCAAGGGAGTGGGTCCCACAAGTTAATTTTGGTCCCCCACTCCTAATTGATCAGAAAAACCCTAGCTTTTGTCCCCTCTTTATTTCACCTTTTAATCTCAACCACACATCTCAAACACTCCCTCTTCCCCATAACTCGATCGAACCCACTTCCCACTCTCCCACACTTAAAATTTCTGAAACTCATCTCTCTCTCTCATCACCACAAGAAAAATCGAATTTCCTCTTTCTCTCTTAAGTTTTTGCGATTTCTCTTGTTCTTCATTGTTTTGCTTTGGGTTTTAGTTTACTGCTCTTCAATTCATCATTCAAGCAAGGTATGAACCCTAAACCCTTGATTCCTTCCATCTCGATTTCCATTATTGCTTGTTTCCTCTTTGATTTTTGATTGCATGTGCCCCTTGGGACTTGTTCTTGAGTAATTGCTCATATCTTTCTCTGCTCATATTTTTTTGTGAATTTGCCTCACCTCACCTCTGTTTTCCATTAGAACTTGTTGCATGTGCTTAAAATTTGAGGTATTGGTTAAGATGCTTATGCTTCACTAGAATTGCTCATTGTTCCATTTACTAGTTGTTCTTGGTTCAATTTGATTGATTAGCATCCTTTCCAGCTCTTAATACTTGAATTAGGTTCGGTTATACTCTGTTTTCACCTAGCTCGATCGAGTTTGTCACTCGAGTTTTTTGACTCGATCGAGCTGAGTGTCGAGTTGACCAAACCGATCATTGCAACTCTAATTCTTTGTAATCTTTGATGCATTTCAGGTACTTTAGTGAAGAAACAGTGTAACAGAGATGACAAACAGTGAGGGAAGTCGCGCTTCACAGAGGAGAATGGTTGAGGGTGAATCAAGCAATGCAAGGGAAAGAAGGCTTAAGATGCAAGCCGATTTGGAGAGGATGATCAAGGATGGAAGAGTCTGATGCAGAGGAGTATGTGTACTCTGAGGAAGAGTCTGAGAGTGAGAGATTGAGGGAGGAAAGGAGAACCAAGAAGAGGAATGACCCATTAGTAGTGAGAGTGAGCAAGGGGAGTTTGAGATTGGAGTGAACCTTGTTCAAGAGGAGGGAAATGGCTCTCCAAGTGAAGAAGGAAGTGATGAGACTGAGAGTGAAGAGGAAGGAGAAGAGGTGAATCAGTTGGTTGAGAGAGTAACCAAGATGAACCATGGAGGAGTTGAGCCACAAGAGAGCCACAAGAGGAGGAGAAGAACTCCCTATGTACCAAGAGCACTACAATGCTCTCTTCTCCATGGACTTTGTGGAGACCAAGTACCCACATGTTGACACAATGAAGGCCCTTGGAATCTTTGAGATGTGGAGTTTCTCAAGAACATGCACTTGGCCAAGTTCTTCTCTTATCACATGGAATCCTACAAGGAGCTCACTTGTGAGTTCTTAGCTTCAATGAGGTACCACATGTAGAATGAGGAAGATAGAGCTGATTTGGACCAAGGATTGGGATGGATCACGTTCTTGGCTAAGGGAGAGAAGAGAATGGTGACCTTTAGGCAGTTGGAGATCTTGTTTGGGTTCAACTATGGAGAGGGTACCAAGTGGAACTTCAAGGAAAAGGAACTCCAAAGGGTTTGGGCTACAATCGCTGATGGAGTGTACTCTTCCTCAAGGTCCAAGGCAGCTCAGATCAGGAGCCCAGTGTTGAGGTATGTGCACAAGGCACTTGCCAACACCTTCTTTGCAAGGAAGGCGACCGGGACATCAACGAGGGGGAACTCAAGTTTCTTGACATGGGAATCAAGCCCATTCTCTCACGCACAAGCGATGGCAAGAGGATCAGGGGAGATAGATCTGACACAGGAAACTTGATGCCTTTCCTTGACCATCTCCTCACCTACAAGATCACAGCCTACAACACTAGACATCAACGAGGAAGGCGCTAAGTGTTGGAGGGCTCATCACACCTATCTTGTGTGCTGCTGGAGTGAACCCAACTGATAGAGAGCCACTGAACCAGGTTGGATGGACATCAAGTTTTGCAAGACCAACCTTCTCATTGAGCACAAGGAGTTGGATGGGAGTTCCAATTCAAGTTCACACATCCATTGGCTGGCCCTCCAAGCTTCTCCTGCCCAACCCAGAGCTCACCACAGTAGTAAGGGGTGAGAACATTGACTTCAGACCCCCTGTGTACACATTAGTTGGGCATGAGGATGATTTGCGAGAAGAGGAGCCTGAGCTCGATCGAGCTGAGGATCGAGCTGAGTCGAGCTGAGGATCAGTCCAGGAGAGTGCGGATTTGGGTGAGCCTGAGTGCTATTACTTTGAGGAGTATGAGGCTCCAAGGATGAACCCCTCTGTTGTGGCTGCCACAAGAGGATTGGACTTCTCCAAAAGTTCAACAAATGGCAAGGGAAAGCCATTGAGAAGATGCAAAAGTCCATGGACAAGATGGTGAGCAAGATCAAAAGTTTGGAGAAGAAGGTTTCTGGTTCTTCAAGCAAGAAGAAGAAAGCTCCCATGAGTTCCACATTCCTTAGGAGTAG